GGCTTAATTCCAAATGACTGTAAGTTTTTAAGGAGATGCAAGGAGGGAGGTGAGCTGGAGAGATAGGTCAGTGCTTAAAACCACTTACCACTCTTGCAGAGGACCAGGGTTCAGTTCCCAGCATCCAAATGGTGACTCACAAGCATCTGTACCTCCAGTTTCAGGGGATGACACCTCTTCTGATAGCAGGCTTCTGTATATATATGGTGTACAGACATACACTCAGGCACACATAAAGTTAAATAAAATAAATATATTTTTTAAAAAGAGACCCAAGGCTTTAAAGGAGATAGCTCAGTCAATAAAGCACTTACCTTGCAAGCACAAAGACTTGAGTTCCATCCCCAGAACCCAGGCAAAACTAAATAAAAACCAGGCATGGTAGTGCCTGTGTGAAATCCCAGTGCTGGAGAGGCAAAGACAAGCAGATCCCTGGGACTCACTGCCAGCCAGCCTAACCTACTTGAAGGGTTTCAAGCCAGTGAGAGACCTTGTTGAATGGAGGAGGAAGGGAAGGGAAGGGAAGGGAAAGGAAAGGAAGGAAAGGGAAGAGAAGGGGGAGGGAAAAAAGATTAAGACAAGGCAAGGAAAACACCTAAGGAATCACACCCAGGGTTGTCTTCAGGATTCTATACATGCATGCAAACATGCATACATGCACACACACATACACATGGGAGCAGGTATTGCTTTCTCACATAATATTCAGGTTGGTATGCTGAGCAGCCTCAATTGTTGTGAAATATTTAACTATGTAAAATGTGTTACACTTGTTTCTGCTGTGGAATATTACTTTAACTATGTAAAGATGTGTTACATTTGTTTGTGCTGCATTTGTTTAACAATGTAAGGATGTGCGTTTAATTATGTAAAGATATGTTTCATTTGTTTCACCTTGCCTGTCTAAGGCACCTGATTGGTCTAATAAAAAGCTGAACGGCCAGTAGCTAGGCAGGTGAGGCATAGGTGGGGCTGCTCGGCAGAGAATAAATAGGAGGAAAAATCTAGGAATAAGGAAAGGAGAGAAGAGAGGAGAGAATGATGGAGATGCTGGGGCCAGAAGCCAGACACAGAGACAGCAGGAAAGTAAGATATATAGAAAGGAAAGGTAAAAGGCCCGAGGCAAAATGTAGATAAAGAGAAACAGGTTAAGTTATAAGAACTAGCAAGAAACGAGCATAAGATAAGGCTAAAGTATTCATAACTAATATTGTCTATGTGTCATGATTTGGGACCTAGTTAGTGGCCCAAAAGAAAAAGCCTGGTACACTCAATGCTGGCTCCTTCTCTGGGAAGCTCAACTGTGTCTGGAGAGCACCAGGATCTTGGGTATGAGCATGCTTGTTTCATCCAAGCACCATTATCATTTAAGGAGTTTATCACTAGAACAACCACTCAGTACAATTTTATTCCATTCTTTCCCTTGTTGTGGTGCACATCATCCTGGGTACCCCTTCCCTCTCCCTTGGGTGGGGCTTCTATCCCTTTCTAGAGGTACATCTACCTTGAAACTAGAAAAGCATTACTGGGCAGTACCTTCCATAGGCTGGGTGCCCCTGGCTATATGCCTCTGTAACACTTGAAAAGAACATATTTTAATCTCTCTCTATCTCCCTCTCTCCCTCTCCCTCCTCCTCCCCCTCTCCCTCCTCCTCTGCACCATCACACAGTTCCATATGGAATATAGTATCATTGAGTGGCTTCAAGAACTTCAGAACCTGACTGAGGGAATGTTGAATTCCTGAAGATACATTTCACTGAGGTTCAGCAAGACATATTTACCTAATTCACAGCCACGTAATAGTTACTGTCACTTGGCCTACTCAATGAGTCCTCCATCCAACCTCTGGGTTGAGTCACAGGGACAAGCCCCGAGCAGCATCCCCTTATGAACCTGCCCAACCCTGGCCAATATTAGAAGTATGTGGGTAGTTCCAGAAGATGAACACAACTCAAAGTGGGCAGAGCCAGAAACAGCCAGTCCATGAGGTTTTTTTTTTTTTCAATTAAAATATGGTTAATTGGAAGTACTCACGAGGTAGAGGCAGGCAGATCTCTGTGAGTTTGAGGCCAGTCTGGTCTACATAGGAAGTTCCAGGACAACCAAGACTGCATAGTGAGACCCTTCTAGAAAAATAAATAGTCAGTAAAGTGGCTCAGTGGGAAAGGCTGCTACCACCAAATCTGACAGCCTGAGTTTAATCCATAGGACCCATATGGTAGTAAAGAGAAACCAATTATCCTCTGACTTCCACATGCAAACTTTGTCATAGGCATGTCCACATACAAATTAAATAACTGTTTAACAATAAACAGTAAAAACCTAAACATAATACTAGACTCAGTTCTCACTATGCCTTATCAAAGAGTTTTTCTATCAGAAATAAACCAATAATTTCCAGATCATTACAACATAGATAATTATAAATATACCACACTACTTTAGTCTTCACACACGCACACACACACACACACACACACACAGTGGGTTGGGTGTTGAGATGGGGTCTTAAATTCATGATCCTACTGTGTTCACTGCCCAAGCACTGGGGTTACGGGTATGCACCATCAAGCTTTGATATTTATATTTAACAGGAATCACAGAAACAGAATTTGTCAGAATTCTTAAATTTGTAAGGCCCATGAATATAATGGCTATATGAATCACAAGTATATCTATGGGTAAAGTCATATTTTGTGTACCTCAACAAATCAATGGCCTCTTATAAGATGTACCTTGCAAAATGACCTAAAAAATGACATAACAAGCAGGTATGGTGAAGATATTATATTACTTTTCTGGATTTGGAGACATTTGTGATCTTTTAAATTTTTTTCAAGTTTGTAATTTGTGGCAATTTCTTTCCTTATTCTAAATAATTACTTTTTATACCTGATTTTAAAATTTGTAACTTTATATTCTTTTTCTTAAGCTGGTCAGGTTTTTTTGTTTGTTGTCGTTTTCTGGTTTTTCATGTCAGTTTTAACTTCTAGAAACTTATGTCCATCCTGCCTATGTTTCGTGTATTTTTTCCTTCTCTTGGTTTTTTTAAAGTACTGTCTTCCAGCTTCCTGAGTTGCTCTCGAAAAATAAATACAAGCCATCTTCATGACTGTTCTTTTTGTTAAGGTCCATTTCTTGCCTCTGGAACTTATAGAATCTGTTTGTCAGAGGTTTCTGAAATCTCACCACAATGTGTCATGATGAGAGTCCATGACATTTGTTGTTCAGGACACCCCATAGGATGTCAAATATGGAGACTCAGGTCACTCTTACCTGGGCGGGACTGAATGATGTCGGTGACCTCTTGTTTTATCTGCTCTTTTCCAGAGAACCTACTGAAGTTCATGACTTGCAGCTCGATATTCTTCCCTTGGGGTCCTGTGTGTGCTCAGCAGGCCCTTTACCAGCCTCTCTGCTTGTTTTTAAAAGTATCTACTACTGTTGATTTTTTTTCCCCCAAATTTTGTTTTTGTTTTTCGAGATAGGGTTTTTCTGTGTAGCTCTGGCTGTCCTGGAACTCACTCTGTAAACTCAGAGATCTACCTGTATCTGCCCCTCCGGTGCCTACATTCTCTCTAAGGAACTTAACAATTATTTTTGTCTGGCTTTGCTTTCATCTTCTCCTGGACAGTCTTTTCCCACCATGTTACTTTTTCTTGTTTGGTAAGTCAGTTTTCAAAGTTTCCCTTGGAAGTGAGTGCTGCATTGTGGGCTATTACTTCTAACTAGACTTACAAGCTAGGAACCTCATGGGAGGAGCTGGCCAGTCCATTGAGGGGTCAGTAGGCATCTTTGGACTGCTCGGATTCCTGGAAGACCCTTCCACATCTAGCAGGGAGGATGAGCAGTTGGCAGGCCATGGACTCCCAGTATTCTGGATGCATACATTTTCTGAATCTATCTTTAGAATGCTTCCCAGGCCCTCAGCTATGCCAGCAGCCCTGAGCACAGATCTCTAGGATTCTGTGTTTCCAAAAGCAGTTGCTCAGACAGGAAGGCAGGAAGCGGCTCCTAGAGCTAACTATAGGACTTCTCTGCAGCCCTCTCTCTCTCCCAGCCTTCCTTGTTTTAACAGCTCCAGCTAAAAACACCCCCTCACCCCCAGTTTTGGAATTGGAGCTGCCATTTCCTGAGTGCTATGGATTCTTTTCTTTTCTTTTGAGGATTTCGCAGTGTAAATCCTGTTAACAACCTCCGCCTTGCTAGACCATGGTTCTACTTTCTCTTGGCTCCGTAGGCATTTATAGCCTGTTCTCTTTCCAGCCACAGGATCAATTTAGCTGCTGTCTTTTCTTCTCCACATCTGTGTAAACTTCTGTGCTTTTAAAATCTCTGTTCTTTTAGCCTTTGTAAAAGAGTTTCAAGAGAAGTCAAAATGAGGTGGGATAGTTGAATGAAAAAGAAATAAAAAAGGAGAGGAAAGGACATGACTGCTCCTAGGTACTGTGGAGGAGAAAGTTTATTGTAGATAAAATGGGGAGCTTAGGTAGAAGCAGGGATATTTGGGCAAGTCCAGAGTGGACATGACCAGGCTGAGCTGGGCCATGTGACAGAGGAGAGGGGCAGAGAGAAGAGAGGGGAACCAGGTGCAGCAGCCAGAAGGTCAAAGGTCCCAAAAGGGCGGGTAACCATAATGTCTAGATTATATAGGGAAGAGCCTCTGGGGGAAGGGATGCCCAGCCCTTGGGCTGGAGAGTTCTGGGTAGAGTGTGGGGTATACTGAGATCCATACCCTGTAACAGGTAGAAACTGAGGGATACTAAGAGAACCTAGCAGCCAGGTCTGCTTTGGTATGTTAAATAGGCACCTCAGCCTAAGTTAGTTAGTTAGTTAGTTCATTTAGTTAGTCCAGGTTTGAAACGTAACAATAGTCTGTTCTATCACTTTGTTTCTTTTGTTGTTATTTCAGACAGAGTCTCTCTATATACAGTCCAGACTAGCCTCAAACCTGTGATCCTCCTGTATCAGTCTCAGCATGAGTCAGCCAGACACAGGGTCTATTTTAAAATTTTTTAAATTATACATATATTTATTTATTTTGTATGGCACACATGTCACAGTACACATAAGGAGATCGGAGGACAACTTGCAGGGATCAGTTCTCTCTCTCCATCATGTGGGGCTGGGGATCAAACTCTAATTATCAGGCCTGGTGCCAAGTGCCTTGACCTCCTAAACTGTCTTGCCAGCCCCCACAGGATTTATTTTAAAACTCACCTCTCAATCTGCCATTTCTCTCATGTAGCAAGCAGATTTAGCTGCCTGAATTTCCCTGACTCCTCCCATTCAGCCACGTGAAGAAGACAGAGCTCTTATCTGGTTAGTACTTTTTTCCCCCCAGAACCAAAATGTCATCCTGGGACGTCGTGACCAGTGGTAGAGATTGGTCACCAAGGTCTCCTTGCTTTCCTCATCTCATCTCTGCTGCTGGTGTCTGAACCATCGTAACTCTTCCCATCTGGGAGTGACTCATTTTCAGAAAGTCAGTATCGACTGTTCCAACCATGAAGTCAGTTAAACCAAATGTTGGAGAATTGAGTTGTAAATAAAATAATTTGTTCCTTAGGCTCAACTTGTCAAGTAGCATTTTTCATAGTTCTTTCCCATAGGCAGAGCTGTGATGAGGTCCTGCCTCAGCTGCTCTTGCTCGGAGGTGGAGAGCATTTGCTTTATTCTTCAGTGGAAACTGAGAAGGGAGGAAGGTAGATGAAGCTCCAGGGACTTCTCATCGATGCCGATGACCAGCCGAGGTGGGGGAGGTATGACAGGCTCAGCTTCTCCAGGAGCTAAAGAGAAGTTGGGGTGACACTTTGACTGATGCTGAGGCATGGGCTTCTTTTCCTGTCCTAGGTTCCTTGAGAGGTCTGAGTGACTTTGGCCCATGGGCACAGTGGACCCCTAGGGCCATGGAGTACTTTTGGCTGAATCCTGGCCTGCCAGCCAAGATCTCCTTAAACCATCTACTATCACTCTCTGTGATCCAGGTCATGGGATGGCCTAGGTTCAAACCTTTTGGGGAGGGGTCTAACAACCTTTTCATAGGGGTCGTCTAAGACTATTGAAAAGTATAGATATTTACATTCCGATTCATAACAGTATCAAAATTAGTTATGAAGTAGCAGCAAAAATAATTTTATGGTTGGGTCACTACAACATGAAGAACTGTATTAAAGGGTCACAGCATTAGGACGGTTGAAAACCACTGGCCTAGAGGACAGAAGGAGACCCCACAGGATCTCTGAAACCAGAGGTAGGTGGCCAGCTGCATCTGAGAAGGGACTGGATGCCAGCAACACTTTAGGAAAGACCAACTTCTGATTTGAATTCTTTTTTTTTTTTTTTTTTTTTTTTTTGGTTTTTCGAGACAGGGTTTCTCTGTGTAGTTTTGCACCTTTCCTGGAACTCACTTGGTAGCCCAGGCTGGCCTCAAATTCACAGAGATCCACCTGGCTCTGCCTCCTGAATGCTGGGATTAAAGGCGTGCGCCACCACCGCCCGGCTCTGATATGAATTCTTCACACTCACTCACAGCTCAACAGCACTGTGCACGCTGCTCAATTAAAGGGGCCTTGGGTGGCGCACGCCTTTAATCCCAGCACTCGGGAGGCAGAGCCAGGCGGATCTCTGTGAGTTCGAGGCCAGCCTGGACTACAGAGTGAGTTCCAGGAGAGGCGCAAAGCTACACAGAGAAACCCTGTCTCGAAAAACCAAAAAAAAAAAAAAAAAAAAAAAAAAAGGGGCCTTGTGGATCTGCTTGGGTTTCTTCTCTTGGGTCTTTGCAGCCTCGTGCACACACCCAAATTAGTCTTCACCCACCCATTCAACGTAGGATCTCTGGAGTATCTCAGTACAAGCAACCTTGCCCAGCATCTGTGAGACCCTAGCTTCAATAAAGAACAACACACCAACTCGGCAGAACCCACCCTGAGTCACTACATCTGTCCTAAGTCGAGCTGCAGAGAAAGCTGAAAGGCTAGGGATCAATGACCCACAGGAAGATTCACCTTCTAAACAGGCACACCGGGACAGCGAAGTGAGGAGGAGCTGGTTGTCACCAAGGTCCTTTGGACTTTGAGAAAGGAACTGAAGCCGAGGAGGCGGGGACAAATTCGCCTCAAGGCTACCGGGCATGGGAGGGTAGTACCTGAGCAGAAGCAGGAAGAGGAGGAGGCCAGAGAGGAAGCCTGGGTCACCCTCGCTCCTGCTGAGCGGGCGGGGCGGGGTCCTGCGTGCAGGTGAGCGGCGGGGCAGGGCGGGGCGCAGCTGCGTTTCGGTGCCCGGGCGCCGCTGAGGCCTCTAACAGACACAGGCCACAGTCGTGCCCTACAGAGGCCGAGGTGCCCCCAGAGTCATGGCCCGCTCGGCCTACGGGTTCTCAGTCGCACTGCTGGGCGCCCTGCTGCTGGGTACAGCGCGCCTGCGGCACGGGACAGGTAAGAGCAAGCTATGGCCGGGGAGGCGCCTGGATGTGGCTCGTGCGATCCAGTCCCCTTTGCGCGGTCGGAGAGCTTTGGCGGCGCGAGGGTCCTGGGACCACTCGCTTTGCGCGCAGGCCGCCGCACGTGGGAGAGTACTGAACCTGGGTGAGCTCCGTGCCGGCCCAGGAGCGAATACTCGCGGAACAAGCCTTAGGAGGATACACTCAAGGTGGCGGCGCGTTGCGTCCTGGGGAGTTTACTGAGACTCTTAGAGACTCCCGATTAAGGCATGGGAGAGCTTTCCTCTCCGGTCCCACCCTCCACCTGGGCTAGAGAAGTGCTAAAAGACCACGGGTTGACGTCCCACTGGGGTACCTCTTTACCTGTCCGCGCCCCATTTTCCTGAGGACCAGGAGCATTAACTCTAAAGGAAAGCTCTAAGTGGACAATCACGGGCGGAGTGGACAGCAGCGGGCGTCTAAGTGTGGAACCCCACGGGTGCCCCGCCCCTTCCTTGGTGGAAGGCTGGACAGTTGTTCCATTGAGCCTGTGGATTTCAAGTAGTTTGGGTTGGGAGCAGAGGCTGCCCTGACCCAGAGATCTGCTCCAGGAACTTGACTTGAGGCTTTTTCTCAGACTCATACAAGTTTTTTTGTTTTTTTTTTTTTAAAAAAGTGCTGTCCAAATCGTGATTGAGGTCTGTGATATCTTTTGCAATGCCCAGGGGGTGTTTGTGTTTGACAGGTATATAAATTAGCATAAATTAAATAATAAAAATGAAATGGTGGGGTGAACTTGGGCGTAAACCTCAGGAAAACTTCCTGGTTTCTTTTTCCAACATTAGGTAATATATTACTGCATGGTAGATAGAAAAATGTAAGACCTCATTTAAAATGACACACACACGCACACACACAGTGGTATATATTTTGTTATTGCTAAAGTTTGGTTTGTGTTTTTCTGAGGCAGGGTCCCCATGTACCCAAAGCTGGCCTTGAACACACTGAGTTTCATGCCTTCACCTCCAGACTGCTACAATTCATTTTACAGATGTGGGCAGCCACTGCACTTTCTTAGGACTATATTTTCAATCAGTTTAAAGGGCAGAGTATGTAGTCCAGTGTGTAGAGTGCCTGCCTACCATGTACAGAGCCTTGGGTTCAATCCCCAGTGCTTCATAAACTGAGCATGGTGGCTCATACTTGTGATCCAAGCATTCTGGAAGTGGAGGCAGGAGAATCAGGAATTCAAGGTCATTCTCAGCTACATAGTGAGTTCTTGGCAGGCCTGGGCTGTATGAAATATTGTCTTAAAAATACATTTTAAGAATTAAAAAAAATAGGGAGGGAAGATACGTGTGCCTGAGAGAGAGGGGTGGTGTGGTGTATGCCAGCACTGTTGGAGGCAGGTGACACTCTACGGATTGTTTTGAGATGTTTCTGACTTTCTATGATAATAGTCGAAAACTTCTCTAGTAAGAATGTGGTATGAGTCCAGTCATCACTGAATACAAGATCTGCAGTTTGCTTTGAACTGGTTGCTGTCTGTCTACACCACGAGTTTATTCTTAGACCCATAGCCTGGGAACACGGATTTTTGAAGTGGTTATGTGAACTTTTATAGTCACAGAACAAAAGAAACTTGTAAATCAAGGCATTTTCTAAACACATTGGTGGGGACATCAGTAGGTGGGTTACTTCAAGTGGTGAAGTCCCTGGGCTAGTCTCAGATGCTGTCTGATGACATTCTTGGCTGTGGGGGTCACAGAAGCTAAGGATTTCCTAAATTAGTATAATCAAAGAGTTTTTACCTTACAGTAAGAAAAATGTTAGATCATATACAGAGGTGGGTGGTAAATGCCTATTTAGGGGACTATAGATTGTCCAAAATAATTTTAACTCTCAATCTGCAGCATTCCAACTCTCCATAGTTAGGAAGTTGAAATGAGCCTACCAGTCTGCAGGATCTTCAGCATAGATGTAGGTCTTCAAAGCGCCTCACTTCACATGTCACTTGTCTCACTCACCCAGGAGGCTGTCTTTTAGTTCCAGAAACTCCACTCAAGTCCTTCCTTCCAGGAAGGTCTGGGCTAGCTGAGTTGTATAAATACCAGGAATTTTACCAATTCACTTTCGTCTTCTGTGACCTCAGGAGCAGAGCCCTATGAGGTCAGGTAACAGGTTGACTCAGCAGTGCCCGGTTTTCCTGGAGTCAGGCTCTGTCTCAACTGGTGGAGGCCTCTGAGGGCCTGGCACACCTCATCAAAGAGTGGGAGTAAACTTGGTGTCACTGTAGAGATGGAGAGTAAAGGAAAGCTTGAGATTGGAGGAGGCATACTTGGTATTCCACCAGCTCCCTCCTGGCCAGAAGGGAAGCACTGGTTGGATTAGAATGAAAACCTTTGAAAACTCCATGCTGCTTGCTTCCAAGAGCTACCAGATACCAGGGTCCGTGTCAGTGACCCCATTGTCTTGCTGCCATTGTTCTTCCAAAACTGGAAATGACACAAATTCAAATGAGGTCTCTGGCTGTTGTCTGGAGGTGTTACCAGTAGGAGATGGAGTTCCACGGCCCTCCCCCACACCCCACAAATTGCCCTGGGGTGAGTCACAAGAGACATTCAGGATTTTGTGCCATCCACAGGCTCTGCTCAGAGTTCACCTTTGCTCACAGATAATGTTTTGTTCCACTTGGATATAGCAAATTTTTCTAGAATAATTATTATACTTAAAACATTTTTTAGAGCTGGGGAATGTAGCTCAGTTGGCAGAGCTCTTATCTTGCCTAGCATGTACAAAGCCCAGTTTTGTTTTTGTTTTTGATTTGGTTTTGGTTTTTTGAGACAGGGTTTCTTTGTGTAGCTTTGGCTGTCCTAGAATTAGCTCACAGAGATCTGTCTGCCTCTGCCTCCTGAGTGCTGGAATTAAAAGTGTGTATGTGCCACCACCATCCTGCTCATCAAAGCCCTGGGTTTAATCCTCAGCACTGCATAAACAGGCATGGTGTTGCACAAATATAATCCCAGCACTTCGGAGATGGAGGCAGGAGCATCAGAGTTTCGAGGTCATCCTACATGACAAGTCCCAGGTTATGCTGGGCTACATGAATGAATGTGCACACCACAATTTCATTCGGATATTTCTATTTCATGGACAGGCGTTAAGAATTAAATAGCACAGGGCGAGAAAAATGGCTCGGTGGGCTAATAAGGCATTTGTCACCAAACCTAACAAGCTTGAGTTCAATCCCCAGGACCCACATAGTATTAAAGAAGCTACTCCCCAAGTTGTCAAGTTGTCCTCTGATTTACACACACAAACACACACTCACATGAACACACACTCACATGAACACACACACACCTTCACTTATGGCACAAACCTCAACTCATTTCTACCCAGCAGTGCTAATGGGGATGGGAAGGAAGGGTGAGGTCACTGTGTGAGGTAGTGGAGAGCACCTAGACCCCTGATGGGGGGACTCGTGGCTAAGGCCTTCAGCTTTGTTAATTAAGAAAAGTTCACACCCTTTAATTGTAACTCCAAACTATAAAAATTATCTCCCAATCAAATTATTTCAAGCCACTCACCACAAGCTTGTAATTAGCCCATCACCTTCTTCTGAGAGACTGAAAACACTCTAGACAACCTGACAAGAGGAACCCAGCCCCACCTCATCCCTTCACAACCTTTTGCTTGTATTTGGTTGAATAGTTTTTTGTTTTTGTTTTTGTTTTTAAATAAGGTTGAATTATCAGCATTGCTCTGAGGTCCTGCCTTCGTTAGGCAGGTCCCTTGTTTGTAGTTTCTACAATTTCTGGCTACTGCTACTCCTTCAAGCAGCCAAAGCGTATGAAACATTTTCTGTGAAAGCTACTATTTTGTGTTTGGTATCCTACTTAACATCAATAATCCCTTCCTGAAAGCCAATCACCGTGATGTCCTAAGTCTCATTATTTCATGGTGGGGACAATTATTAACCTGTTGCTTGGCCATGCAGAACCCCCAACAGGTTCAGAATGTGTAGTGAAACACAGATAGATACACACATGTAATTATCAACCAGTGTTATTAAATGTGAAGTCCATATAGCATTGACTGGAGACTGCCAGGCCATATATACAGTTTATCACAGATGGTCTCTTGGTACAGTAACCCACTTTACCTCCCTCTGTGGACACTCCAGGGTCTCTACCGGCACCTGATCTCTTCAGTTCCTGGTACATGGAACACAAGCAGAGACTCTCAGTACATCTTTTTAAGTGTTGTTTGGAGCTATAAACATATGTTTCCAAAATAGACATTGGTCAGAGTAACTTTGATGGAGGAAATAGAAGTCATAATGTTTGAACAATTAAAAATTAAGCTCTTTTTGTCCTGAGAAAATATAGACAGGGGAGGCATGGATGGGCCTTCATATTCCCAAGCAAAGAGGTAGGCACAGAGAGCTGAAATAACTTGCCTGAGATAACCCAGCTGGGTTACAGGGACACTGAGGTGATACTCGGGACTTTTGGTCAGCTTCGAGGTATTGCCTGCATCCTAGAAACTGCCCTTGATTTAAAAACAACAAAAAAAGACCCACATAGGACTTAGTACTGTGTCTGCATTTATTCTAGGAATGTGTGCTCCCTCCCTCTCTCCTTCCCTCCCTCCCTCTCTTTCTCTCTCTCTCATTAAGAATTCTTTTATTTTTATTTTAATTTAATTTTATCTTTTTTAGTTTTTGAGACAGAGTCTCTGTACATAGTCCTCGCTGTCCTAGAACTCACTATTGGACCAGGCTGGCCTCAAACTCACAGAGATCCATCAGCTTC